TCGCAAACACTAATTGATTAGACACCAAAATGATTTGTTTAAAGAGTTTTCCTTCCCAAGTGCAGCTGCTCTCGGGGCCCGGGCATTATCCTGCTAGGCTGTGGAGGAGCTCGCCAAGTGGGCCGCGCGCCCGGCCGCCGAGGCCGCAATACGCCCGGGGCTGTGGAGGCTGCTCCACGCCCTGCCTGCCTTAGGCTCCCGGCTGGGCCTCGACCGGCGACTTCCGTCTTTCCTGTCCTCCAGGTCCGGAGATTGGTGCACCTGGGGACCGTCGTGAGCCGACTTTGCCTTCCGCGCGCCCCTTTTGCTCTGAGTTGTCCTCACTTTAGATGGCTTTGACCTGCACCAGTGCGAGGATTCCCCCTCTCCCTTGCCCCTGCCCTCCACCGGCTCCAGCCCTGGCATTCTCTACCCCGCGCGCGAGGCCAGGGAGCCCCAGATGGGCGGCACCGGGAAAAGAGTATTAACCGTCGCCCCAAATATGGTAAATTCGTTGTACCACCTCCCGCAGCCCTGCAGCACAGATAGGTCTCCTTTGTAATATACTACAACAATAAAAAGATAAGACCAAGAAAGAAAATACACTGAAGGACTGGCGAGAGAAGGCCACCTGCTCCGGATCTAGCTGGCTGCATCCAGAGTCCGCAGCGGGATGCTGAAGCCAGAAAGTCCCACCTGGGAGCACTGGACCCCTCCCGCAGCCCCACAGCACCGACACTCCCCTTCTCCCTTTAGCGCTTTCGCTGGAGGACTAGAAAAGCCCTCACCAAAGTGCGCTACTGTTGGAATAAATTTAAGACCAAGAGAAGCTGCCACAAGCTTATCGGATGGCCCAAGAAAGGAAGTAACTGGAGATGCTAGGGGAGGGGTCTGAGGTCCTGGAACTGCTGCCCTGGCCACCCTCCGTATCTCCGAAAGCCTGGAGTTAGCTGGAGTTGGCACGAGCTATCAAAGAGCCCTTCAACCAGGGCATTTTCTCTGGGATTTGGAGTATGTGGGTAGGAGATGGAACAAAGGAGAGTGCAAAAACACAGAGTAAAAATATATATATAGTCATGAGCAAAAACTGTAACTTACGTTATAAAGAAAAAAAGTTAAACAAACAGATGAATAAAAACTATATGAAGATCAAAGATTGATGAAGAGGGCTAGAATAATTGGTTACCACTCCCTTGGCCCCCAGAAAGTGGAGAGAAGCTATTGAGTAACTTTTAAAATATTTTTCAATAGTGAATCACCAGGCCACTCCCTTCTGAATTTTTCTGGTGCTTTATTCTAAGCCAAGAGCAATTTTTTGAATAAAATTTCTGCAGAGGTAGGAAGAAGACAAGACAGCCTGGCCAGAAGCACACTGCCCTGACAGCTCAGTCTGCTATTTCTGCGGTCAACAAATGGGAAGTAAACATTTGATGGCTCAGAGGGGCTAGAAACATTTCTTTAAAATGGTCTTGAAAACTGGGACTGGGCCATATGTTACATCTCTGTTACTCACAAAGAGCAATAAAGCAGTAACTCTGAAACTGATGGAAGGTTCTCAGAAAACCTTGTGTGGCCAGCATTTAGAGGAAAGACCTTATTCTCATTCTCTTTTCTAAGCCTCATGGCATCACACAGCACAGGAAGGATTGCACCTGCCTGACCACCACCAGCAGCACCCCAAGATTTACAAAATAAGCAGTCTGAAATCTTTGTTTCCACTCTGAAAATATTGCCAGCCACAAGCATCCAGTCCATAGGCTTATTTCCCTTTTTCATAAATATACACGTGTATGAAATGTAGTGGTGACACCATTTCTTTTTTCTTTAAGTTCCCTGCAGCTACTTGAAATCTGACCACCTGACAATAAGCCCTCCCCTCGAACTTCCTGGCTGTTATAAAGAATTCTACAGTATTCTGTAATCACATACACAAGACCCATAAAGTAATTTCAAGGGACCCTTCCTTGGCTCTTTAACCCTCCATAGTGCACCTGATGGGTGCCAGGCCTGGTGCTGGGTAGTGAAAGGAGGAAGGGAAGAGAGGGACAAAATGACAAAAAGCTATCCCAGTCCTCCAGCAGCTGGCAAACTGTCTAGTGTCCATCCCCAACACATGCATACATGCATATTCGCCCTAAATAGGCCTAAGAGCATCCATCATACCCATCACATGTTCTTAGTAATAGGAAAGTTTTCCAAGACTTTAAGAATAAAATGTTTCTAAAAAAACACTGCAATGCAGTCAACCACAGGAAAACAAAGGTTAAATAAAAGACATGAATAGCCAACAGCCAAGAAAGATTAGGGAGATTTGCAAACTCCCAAAGCAAGTCCTTCACACCCATTAACCCAATATATATAATACTTATACAAATTTTTACTTTGGCTCCTCCTCTAGGGACCAGCACAGAACCAGACCCATTTTCATAAGGGGACGGGGAGGAGTTGAGCTCACTTGATCCCAACCTTCTTTAGGTAGACTCCAGGGGCTCAGCCAGGAGCCTCACACGAAGGAGGGTTTCCAGGATCAAGCCCCTAATTTGTTACACAAGGAGAAAACCATGAACAACGTGTGCACTTGGTGGTATTTACTTCTTTCTTTTAAATAACTGCCTTTTGGGAAGAGAGTTGTCATAAAGGCAAAGCAACAATTGGGGGGGGTATTAAAATATGAGGTGGCAACAGTTTAGCCCAATGTCTGCCTTCTACTTTAACCCATTGTTTGGTCTCATATGAGAGCTGCATGCTCTATGTTGTATGAAAAGAGAACAGAAACAATAAGGAACCAACGAATCAGCTTCCCACCAACATATTGTGATCCACTAGGCAAAAAATATGTTTTATTCTTGTGTGTATGTGTGTACGAATAGACAGACGTAGATACAAGTTTAAATAGAGTAATTTTGTTTTCTAAGTTCCTTTATGTCAGTGTATTTTTTCCCGAAGACCTTTTACTCTCTGGAGGTTTTAAATTCCTATATATTCATTGTGCAAGTTGATGCTAAGTCCATTGAGATAGACCCTCATTTCCGGAGCTTCCATAGGCATTGTTTAGACCAAATAGAAGTGTCTCTGGTGATGAAACCAACCAGGTTAACTGATTTCAGGGTATGACCACTTTCAAGAAAGTCAGGTAGAGTGAAACCATTGGCCTTGACCTACCTTGATCATGATGTTGCCTGAGTTGTGGCAGGGACCTGGGCAAAGAGATGGGCCTCTTCATGCCTTAGCTGGTGTGAAGTTTCCCCCAAGGGTTCACTGGCCCAAGCTTTTGCCTTAAGGGACTCAGCTGTCGCTACTACTACCACCTCACCACCCTGGTTTCTCCTAGGGTCTGGGAACATTTCCATCAGAGATACCAGTGGTGGGTACCGCTGGGAGCCCCAGGAAAGGAACATAGAGTCTGAGTTTGGCCCAGTGGAGTCCACATCAATTTTTTTCCATACCCAAGCCCAGATACTCAGGCTTTAAGAAGCTCTCCCTCATTGTGACCACCGCTTGCCCGGGGCTGAGGCTTGGAGCTGACCGGGTCGTAACTGCCAAGGGTTGGACAATGGGCACATCTGTCCTTTCTCTGAGGGATGAAAGCACCTAAGCGGACACGCTCTGCCTTTTGTTACGGATTTTTTCCTTTCTTTTGTAAATGAAAGAAAGCCGCGGCATGTGGCAACCGGGTGATACGTCCCACACTGGGGGCTTCCCCTTGCGTCCCCACCGGCCCAAGGACCAGGTTCGATCCTGGATTGGAGCTGATTGTAGGAAGCGAACAATTAGGCCCGAAGCTGAATTGATTTTCAAATCTGGAGGCTTCTCGCAGGGACGCCGGGAAGAGGGCGTCCCTACGGGCCATAGCAGAGACTGGTGCGCCTAGTCCACCCTGCCGGCGTCTGTCCTTCCGCAAGCAGCGGCCTCTGGGTGCTTTACCAGGAGGGCCATGAAGAAACCGCCGGAACAGCCCGAGAACCCAGAAGTTAACATAGGAACCCCCCAGGGCGCGCGCGCGCGCGCACACATACACACACAGACACACACACACACACACACACACACACACACACACACACACACACACACACACGACA